GAGCTCCATGCTTGTAGGTGTCATGTGTCTATGAGAATTCAGTGATGCTAAGTTATGGCAATTTTATTGAGCTATGTCGCTGCTTATCCTGCCATTGTTTTTTTCCAAGTAAGGATCCAAAAACTGGGTCTTGAGGTCACTGATTTTGGAGTTTGAGGCACCGCAGGCATTTAACTTGGATGCACATCATAGCTGCTAAGACACAAGAGCCTAGGAGCCCTATGTTGTTGTCTCTTATCTGCCATCCAATTGAAGGAGATTGTAGTTGCCCATAGTGTCCCTTCCCTGTCTTCAGATAACATTGAGTTACCTGCTTGTCAGCTTACATGGTGAACTGTACAGTGGAAGAATCCAAGTTCAGAATTGTCCCTTGTACCTTTTGTACCCTTGTACCTATTTTTACCCAGATGAATTCACTGGTGCGATATACTGTGCCACTCTACAAACAGCTATTTCTGCACGGCTATGAGGAAGCTCTGTGGATAGGAACATCATAGACAAGCAGCGCCCCTAGATCTGTGTCCTCTCTCTTTGCATGGGGTTTTGTGTGGATGTGACCATTGGTAGTGAAGAGCTTCATGAGTCAGCCCCTTTCCAGAATCAGCACCTTGGGACAGAGTGCAATTCCCTGCTTACTTCAAGGTGACACGAGTACAGACTGTCATTGAAGAAGCAGAGGGAATCCTGCTCTTGGAGGTCACATCTCTGCTGCTTCTCGTCTTCTAGCCTTAGTGTCCATGAGGCCACAAGGCCATCAAGCAACTGCTACACAGACGTTAGTTTTCATCCCCACAGTTGCACTAATGGTTGTGTTGGCATAAGGGGAAGGGCAAAACTGCTCATTTCAGCAGCAGCCCATGGCTCTAAGTGACATGGAACAGCAAAGCTGACCTACATACTGCTGTTGTCCTCCCATAACCGGAGCTATTTGTTCCTGCTCCTTCTCTTGTACCAGCTGTAGAGCCCATCTGACCCACGTAGCAATCTGGCTGAGGAAGCTAAGCAAACAGAAAACTTCAGGTCAGTTTATTGGTGGTGTAACTCCCTCAACTGATTTGCTAGGCACTGGCAAAACAGAAGCAGCCAGAAAACATGATTGGGTATAGTGGGGACCAAGGAATGGGTCTGCCCATCAAACAGACTGGCAATTAGTTTAGTTTTTCTGTAATGCTAATTGACAAGGAGAGAAGCTGAAAATTAGACAGTGTGAATACTCCCCATTAGTGAAAATGTGATAGTAAAGTAGTGCTAAATTCTGACTTAACTAAGTATGCATTTCATTGTGAATTGCTCCTACAGCCTCCTATCAGAAGCCTTGTTCTCCTGGGCAGTGTTTTAGGGGAAGGCCTATTTTCAGTAAAGCAGTTAATTGGGTGCTTAAATTTAAGCACCCACTTCAATCTCATTGAAGTTAACCATTCAGCAATTTGGTACTTAACAATTGCTTAACCATAGCAGAATCACAAATTGACCCTGGTTCCTTTCAGGTGCTCTACTCAGAGGATTTGCTTTTGCCTCCTTAATCTGCAAACCACTCAATTTCATTTGTGATGAAATTGAGATGCCTATTGAGCTAGATGGTATAGCTGATTGGGTTAATATGTGTAAATATGATCTCACCTCTGCAGTAGTAAGTGGCTGTGTGTTAGGATACAGGAAAATGCGAGGAATATTAACTAAGAGTTTGGAGTGGTAACATCTGTAGGCCTTTTAGTCATATAGGAAAAAGCTGTTAACAGCTCATTTTGATTACACTTTGCCCTAGTTTAAATGATAACTCAAGAGCCAAGTCCTGAATTTGTGCTTTTTTTTTCCCCTTTACCAACAGTTTCATAATGAGGCTTCTTAAATTTATTCTCATTTTCACACATATAAATTATGATATGTATCCACAGAATTGTGTGTAAAAATCTATTCTTTCAAATTTTTTTTGGAAAATCAGGAAGGAAATGTTTGACATTACTTGAAATTGGGATAAAATTAACTTGATGTTTTGGATATAAAGTTATCAAAGACTTTCATTGCCACCCTACTTGCTCTCTGGGATCTAATCAACTACTATCCTGTCCTTTCTGCAGTTAGCTGAGGATGTTTGACTGATTCTTCTGTGTAGTTGCTAAACAAAATAAAGGGATATGGTTTAGGAGAGAAGAAGGTATAATGATGTGGAACTCCACTGCATTACATTTGTGTAATGTGGTGCAGCTGAATTCAATTTCTGTTGAAGATTTATGTCTTCCAAAAGTGTTTGTTTTGTTTAAACAAGCAATGCTTTTAAGAGAAGATTATCTCTCTCTCATGTATAATCCTACATTTAGATTAGTGAATATAACTGGAAAAAGTGGATAAGCAGAAGTTCCTCATGCCTAAAAGTTTGTCTTTTTATTCTTCCTATATCAGCTGTCACAATAAAGAGTTATTAGTTTTCCCTGTAAGCCTTACCTCACATATATTCTTAGCTGGTCACTGCTACAAGAACATTGTTAATATTTACTTTACTTTTTAAGCAGGAGTAAGAATGAATTCAGTAACCCATTTTCTCAAGTTCTTAGAACTGGCAAGAAATTTGAGAAATGAAAACAAGCCAAAAAGACGTAAATGAGTAACAAGTACAAAAACTGTTTTAAATCTTGCACAGCTCCTAAGTTTAATTACCATTCCACCATTGCTTTATTTTTGGGTGGGTATTTTGGTGATGGCAGTGTTCCACAGACCTTTTTTTCAACACTCTGAAATTACCTCATACTTGTATTCTGCATGAACAGGTCCAAGCAAAAAAAAAAAATCATTTTCTTGAGCTCATGTATTTGTAATGTAGGTGATATTCATTTGTCACCTACAACACTATCCAGATTTTACTTCTTCCATGTTTAAATAGCAATGTTCTGTTTACAATTTTAGTAAACTAATGGTTTGTAATTAGTATTTCTGCAGTGTTTTAGAAATGGCAAATTGAGCCTCTGAAAGCAATCTGTAAGCTGACAGAAATTGGTTCAGCACGCCGAGAGGCCTATGTAAATCCATCGTGTTGCTTTTTTATTCAACTGCTGTGGGAGGTAGAGACATCACATATTCACATTTTCAATTAAGAGACTTTTCAAATTTCATTGGAAATGGAAAATTAATTTACAAGTAATGCAAACTCTGTGAATTTTACAGCACTTCTTGACCATATTGGTGGCATATTTTTCTCTCAGAATTGTTAAATACACCATTAAAAAGTCTAAGAATGTAACAGCAGTTGTGCTGGGTCAGGCTAAAAGCCCATTTAATCTAGACTACAAGAACAGCAGAAGCAGTAGCCATAAGCAAGTGCCTAGAAAAGATTACAAGAAAGAGCAAGTATTTTTTTTATGCTGCCTGTGAGTATGCTTCCAACCTCCAGTCACTTTCAGCTGAAGGACTGCCTCAGCTAGAAGTGTTTTTCTGTATTTAGTATCCTCCATGGATTTCTCTTCCATGTACATCGCCATCGCCATCTCCATTTCATCCTAGATAAATTTCTAGCATCCATAACACCCTTTAGCAAGAAGCTCCACAGGTCTAGTACCCGTTACATCCTCCTCCTTGCTTTTGTTTGTTTTGCACCTAGATCTTACAAGTTTCATTTGATATCCTCTAGTAGTTACGCTGGAAGAGATCCCCTATCAGTACTGTTAATGCCACTCATCTGTCGTGTAGCCTCTCAGTCTTCTCTTCTCCAGCCTGCAGAGTCTACCTCACTAAATCCCTCCTTAAATTGAAGCCATTTCAGAACTTGGCTCATCCATTATTGCCCTTCTCGGATCCTTTTTCCATTTTTCCTTTTTGAGAGGAGGGACTGAAACTTCACACAGAACTGAAGATGTTTGCAAAACAGAATTTATACGTGTCCATATATTGATGTTAACTCATCCTTTCCTAATGCTTTTAGAACAAAGCTGTGATCCAAACACTCTTACATTTTAAATAGCCATCTCCATAACTTGTGAAAAGAATATGACAGCATGGCTCAGAATATGGTAGAATTAATGTAACAGCAACCCATACATTTGTTCATTGCTTTTGTTGAACCCTCCAATTTATGGCCAGTTGATTGGAAACTGTCAAGGAAAATGAACCATTCACGCTGTGATAACATAATGATAATTGAAGAGGTTGTTCTCATTTCGTTTTCATAGATCCGCCTCCGGTTTTTCAAAGCACTGATGGAAATTGGGTAGCTTTGCAGAACGTCACTTTGCCTCGTCCTCGAATGCTCGCTAAACCAAAGAGTCAAGTATTCAAAGCTCTGGAGAATGAATCCAGCATTGTGTCTGCATATGACGAGATGGGCTCAGACAGCGAGGATGACTATGACTGGAATGTGGCCTTGAACAAGCTGCGTCGGAGACCTCGGCAATCATCAGATGATTTCTATTATACCGATTCCCAGTACAATGCTGAGTGGGTTTATGGCAATGACCAGTACCAGGCAGTAACCTCACCTTCCTCTGGATTATACACAAATACTGAGACACTGTTCTCCGATTCTGAAACATCTTCAGTAAACTCTTTCCAGGAAGTCAAAGGACCTAGCAAACTTCTCTGGCTACAAAGCAGAACTCAAGGTGATAAGCCTAGAATGGAAAAAACTCACTTCCATGGAGAGCTGGACATAAATTTCAATCCACAGGCAACCAGCTTGGAGTATTCAGACAGCAGTGAGACTGAAGAAGTCCATTATGATTTAGAAAAGAGATCAAGAAGGTGGAGAAAGAACAAAATGATCTCTGAAGAAGTAAATGAAGGAAAAAATCGCACAAAAACCAACAAGAAGAATTTAAGCACAAGTCAGGTAATTGCATTTGATTTTACTGAATGTGGCATCAAGAAAAGCTGGGCAAAACCAGGCGGCTCTGCTGACAGTAACATATGAACCCTGAGTAGGAGGGGGGAGTGTTCTAACAACCTTTATCCTCCCTCACGTCTCAAAACTGAGAAGAAGCAAAAGTAAAGTGCTCCATATACCGTGAACAGTCTTTGTTTCTTTCTCAAATCTGCCACTTCCACCTGATCAATGACATTATTAATGCTATAAAATACAGTGTTTTTACAACAAAAAAAGTCAGAATTTGCAAACAGCTAACAAATTTGGCGTGCTGAGTAATCCCCCTTTTTTGGTCTCTCTCTTTTTTTTTTTTTTTTTTTTTCCTCTCTCTCTTTGGAGTAAGAAGCAACTCACATGCCTTGGAATCTACTCTGTGCTGTTTGCAAATGTCCTGGTAAGGGCTAAAGTTAATGAGCAGAAATTCAGAAAGGGATATTTTTGAAATATGGTCCAAGTGATGCCTACTTTTAATTAATCTCTTGATTATGAGTACCGGTGTGTTAGGGTGAGTGTGTATAAACTTCATTCATTCAAATAATTGTAATTTGTTAAAAAGCAAGCTTTCGGCCAGCAGAATGTAACAGCTCTAACTTGGAAAAACTTTTTTCAGACAGAAAAGTAGCCCCCAAACATTTGCTTTAAACAAGTATGGGATAACCACAAAATAGAGTAATCCTCTCAGTTCAGAGTTTCTCCAGGCCTGGAACTCAAATTATGTAAGGGATCTAGTTGTCCCCACAAACTTTTCTAGCCTTACAAGCACATGTTTAGCTTTAATTATCTGTCTGGGTAGGAAGAATGCTGAACCCCTTTTCCAGGTCCTGTTCCCATATCCTAACTTTCAAAATCTGTAGCAGGATCATTTCTGCAGTAGAATAATGGTAAGCCGGAAGTAAGGAAGTAAGTGTTGTCTTCACCCTATGTCTCCATCTACAAGCAACTTTATCCAATCTTTAAAGCCATCCGAATACTTTAGGATGTCTGGAATTATTTTTCTTTCCTTATACTACTAGCCTCTATTTCTGGTAGAAAGATGACTGCACAACTGATTGTAAGTCAAGATTTGGATTCTGGGATTTCCACAGATTTTTTTAATACTGAATGTACTGTTGTTAATTCTTTATCTGTTCCATCTGCTTTTAGGAGACAGGTGTGGGCATTCTGTACTGATTCATCTATAGTTATGTCCTCTTACGTTTATAATCTATCTATAATGACTTCTTAGAGCATCAGGCAGAAGTACTGAACTTTCCAGGGGTGCGGAAAGATCATCTTTCATGAAGGGACTTTTGTATTTCTATTTATGCCTTTGCATATTTGTGCATGTTCTGTGTGCATGCATGTCTGTGTTCATATTGTGGCTTTTGAATTACTGCTGCTCCGCAGAGAGCACAAAAGCAGAGCCCACAGATAAGGTCCTGGAGATGTTCCTCCTGTAGCGAACACAGAGAGGCAAGGGAGCTTCTAGACGTATTTGACTACATCCTTCAGCAGCTCACAGCGTGTCCTTCAAAATGCAAGAGGATGCAGAAAAGAGATTGTCCTTTCCAATGCTCTTGTGAGTTGCCTTGCACCTTGTGTACTGCTTATACCTCTATGTCGTGCTCAAAATGCGAGGGTTGGGATTCTGACCAATTTTCCCCTTCATTTTACCACTTAAGCAAAAAGAGACTGTTCCTGTTGCTATTCCTGCTCCTTTAATCACAGTGAGACAGGCAGAGAGCGCACTAGTGTTTCTAAAGTAATAAAATTCACTTGCAACACAAAAGATAAGCATACGAGTTACTGAAGAACTAAGAATTTTATGTATAATAATATGAGCATGTTTGCTTTAGTTTGTGTTAACACGCACACACACACACAATGGCTGATTTTGACAGTTGGTGCCTACCTTCAGTGAAAAGTTATTCCAGCCGCCTGTACATAAAAGCACTTCTCAGAGCAAGAGTGGACTGGCTAATAGAATTTATAGCAGTGACGTTGCTAGGATTGTAAAATTCTAGAAAGCAATTAAAAGGATTCAGAGCATAGGGAATATGATTTGCGGTATGATAATAAATTAACCAGCCAGTGTTTATACTCCTTAGAAAAATGAGATTAAAGGGATGACAGGGTTTCATATGATCCCCACAGTAATGTATTGATCCTGGTAAAATGATTGAGGCTGAAGCAGAGAGAACCCGACACGGAAGTAGTTTGTACAAAATGACAGTCTCTCTTCTTGGTAAGTTGTAGGCAGTGTAACTTAAGGAAGCTTCTTTGTGAGGTCTTAAATAAATCATAGATTTTCACATGCTGAGATTATACAGAGAGAATTTCCTGAAAACATACCAAGTGCTCTTCTAAACCACGCTGCATCTGGGCATCAGAAACTGACCCAACTCATCATATGTAGATTACTGTGAAAAAGCATACTTTTTTCCTTATTTTACTGCACTGCAGCAATAACATGTTTATTTGTTAACCACTGTATTTTCATCTGCACTGTGGAATGGGATTTCAGTCTTGCAGTCTGAAAGCTTGGTTTTCTTTTTTAATTTTCAAATAGTGACAGTTACTTTCTTGTTTGCTACTCCTCCGGCTTTACAGTGGAATGAAAACGGGCCCTTTCTTCTCTCCCTGCTCCAAATTTAGAGAATTGTAAGCAGTGACATTCTGGACATCCTGAAACAATTTTGTAACTCGCAACGGAATTTCTATTAAAAATTAGATTTTTCTAATCCAGATCCAGTACCTGGATTAGAAGAATGCTGTGGCATTTTTGAAACAGATTTTGGGCTCAAAACTAGAATGCTGACTTTGTGACTGAGAGAGAATTGATTATATAAAGTCTGGAGTGACTTAAAAGGGGACCCTGAAAATAGACACCAAGATGTGTTGTTTTGTATTTTTACCACTATATGGCAGGTAAAAGAAAAACCTTGCTTTAGTGGGTTGCCTGTAGAAACACTGTAAATGCAGTCATGAAGCAAGTCGGCATGGACATGAAAACTGTCCTACTGTAAAGTCCTACAGTAGTAAGTTTCTGATCAGTGGATTGCATATGTAACGTAGAAGACTAATATTCCTATGCAACCTGAATTAAGAAGCACAGCTTGTTTGACAAGTGCAACCTTACTTCTACCTTCCCTGTTTTTAATGATAATTATTTTTTAAATTCTAATTTATTTACAAGAAATGACCGCTCGCACCACTGATCTGTGTCTGCAGAAAGCTTGCCTTTCACCGTATTTTTGAGAGGAGACGTTGCTCAATGTAGTTGTAATTCTTATATTCTGGATGGAAAGTGGAGCTGCTTAATTGCTTCAGGTGAAGGAACTGCCTTCATTTTGAGCTTGCTTCTTTTATGAAAAGGCCCTACCTGTTAATTACAGCCTTGCTGCCCCTTCTGCCTTGCTGCCAGGTAACGGATGACTGCTGTCAGCCTGCCAGTCCCCACGGGATGGCGCTTGGGATGTAATTACTGAAAACTGCATGCCTGTAAAGTACACTGGCTCTCACTGAGAAACTGCTTGCAAGCCTCACAGTTTGTGTCGTCTTCTTCTAAAGCCTGCGGTTTCTAATCTCTGTTTCCTATTTGGATGGTGCTTTCTCTGAAGGCTTTCTGGTGCAACATGGGTTTGGTTCTGTAGCCTCCAAACCAGTACTTTGATTTGCTTCATTTGGGGTTTTTTTTTTGGTTGTTAGGATTACACTGAGTTATCAAGGCACACAAGGATTTGCAGAATATGTATTAGGAAAAAGTATATTTCCTGTTTCATTGTCTGCAAAGGGCTTACACTTGAGCTAGCAATACTTGATTTTCTTTCAGTAAAACTGGGCTTGTGGCTGTGGTATTCTACCCAGGCCCTTGCTGAAACTGTTTTCAGCTAATCTGGTGGCCCTTTATTCTTGTTTGCAGATGTTAGTGTTATTTGCTACTGGTAGAGGCAAATGAGAACTTAGACGATGATTTATGCCAAACTTGCCAGATGGAGCTAAAGCATGAACAGTAAACAAGAGCAGTGAAGTTTAAGATAGTATCCATAAAAAAAAAATAATAATAGCAACTTTCAGTGTATTTATTATTCTTATCTGTTGTCATGGCATCTAATTTTTAATCTGTTAGTTCATGAAAGAGGTACTCTTTTGTCGTGAATAGTTCACTGCCACCATCAAAAAAGCTCAACACACAAGCTAAGCAGCCTACCACTAGCAAAAATCACAGTGTAGCATTAGAGGATATCATTACTTCTGCATGTAGGCAAGAGCTAACAGGTCTTGCAAATGTAAATACTCCACCAGCTTACTGTAAGGAGGCTGGGAAGTAGAAAGTTGGCTAAAGGGACATACCTGAATGCAGCTGTAGTAAGCTCAGTTCCCTCAGGGTGGATCCTCCCCCAGAAGTTTAGCTAATGCAGAACAAAAGCCTAGGAATGCCAGGGCAACTCATGTCTTGCACCTGTGTTGCGAAATCTAGTAAAAGGCTCTTCAAATTTGTGTGCTAAGGAGTTAGGAAAATTCCTTTACCTGCATTAAAGCATAAGCTAGAATTGAGAACTTTTCAGGTAACCGTTGCACATGTGGCTGAGGTAACATAGCAGTTTGCTGCTGCTAAGAGGAACGTCATCTTCCATCTGCCTTCGTGCCTTCCCTTCCCCTGCCTTCAGCGTGGTCCGATACCTACCCTGTGTCAGCTCTGGCACTTGGACCCCTTTGCTGAGCCTACATAAATCGTTACAACCAGGTAAAGGAAGGAAAGGTACAGGATGGCTCCATTTCAGCACCACTGGGCTATTACGTTATCTCACCTTGTCTCATAAAACTATATCCTCATTTTTATCATGCTGAAGCTGAGCAACTGAGCTACATTGTCCTGTCAGGCCTTCATCCAAAACGCATGGCAAGTCAGCTTAAGGTCTCTACATGATTTCACTGAGCTCTGGGTATAGGCAGCAGAGATGAACCTAACAGGCATTGCAATGTGTGATCTGGAAGACTGGTGTTTTTTCAGGATCAAGAGGAGTTGTAACTTTGCCATTCTCACTGTGGATTCCTTACAGTAACTGGTGGTACTTTGAATAGGAGTACGTATGCATTATTGTTCTTACATATCTGCTAAGCAGTTAAAAGCTAAGCAAACCTGCATAAGAGGTCTTCATAGCAATTGTGTATGGAATGTTGTCATGTGTCGGTACTTTGTGGCGCAGCAGATGAGGTGGAAATGCAGGAAAACCTGCATCTCTGAACTGATAGCCTTTCTTGCTGCCCTGCTAGATTTTGTAGCCATATTTGTTGGCCTATTTAAACAATAGCAAACATTTGATCTGCCCAAAATGTCTGCATGGAATGGGATGGCCTTCCCTCCCTTGCAGACTCAGCTGCAAGGTAGACTATACTCTTCCCACCTAGACATTCCTGGAGGAAGTCCACACTCCTGGTGTAGAGTTATCAGAGCTCACTAGCAAGTCTTATAATCATAAAACACATGTTTAGATAGGGGCAAGAGTACCTCTTTGCATGTGCGTATGTCTCCCCATTAAATAAAGAGGGGTTATAGCTTAGACTAGATGGCTAACTGTAAATAGCACATACTCGGTGAGATGAATCTCCACTAAAATATATTCCCCTAAAACGCAACTGCACTGTTCAGCCATGTTCTCTATCTTCCAAATCCTATAAATTACAGTTTTTTTGTTCCTCAGTACAAATTGATGCAACAGCTTTCTGATTTTTATCGTGGTCTATCAATATGCCAGATTATCCATAGCAAATTTGTTGGGAGATTGTAATGAATTGCTGAGTGAAATACAAAATCTGTCTGAAAAATGTCTTACAATTTCTTTTTGGTATGATTTGATGACGCACATTACGGCAATATAGTCAACAATTTTTAATTAAAAAAGTGAAATGACACCAGTCTTCTAAATACATTTAAAAGCACATCACAACGTATTATAAAATCAAAGTGGAAACACACTGATTTGAAGACTTGTTCTTATTCAGAACGGTTGTTTCAGAACATGTAAGAGGGCTTTTTATTCTGCAAAAGCTTTTTGTTTGGGAAAAATTTAAATTTCAGCATAAGCCTGTGGTTCCCCTTTTATTCTAGTTAATCATATACTTTCAAACCCTGTTTTTCCAAAAGGCCTTCAGTATCCTGAAAGTGCACTATAAAGTAATAATTTATTTGTATAATTTTTTTCACCAGTAACTGCAGACAAAAATTGTCCAGATGGCTGTGAGAGTGCTAGAGAATGCGCTACAGTTTACTGTATGAGCAGTGAAGACTGATATTAAGAATATGATGTGTCAATCCATTAAGAGCAGTATGATGGGCAAGGTTTATGAGGAAATTGTCAGGGTTAGCAGTTACTGTAAAAATTGGAGGTAATTGGTCCATCCATAAACAATGATTCTGAGATTGCAGGCAGAGTACCTGTGCAAAGCAAACCTCCTGTTTATATGTTTCCAAGTGAATGGTAGAGAAAACACAGCTTTTATTCTCTCCAGCAGTGTCTGGTCTTGTCATCGTAGGACAGCCTAAGGCAAATAAGAATAATTTCCTATCAAATAATAGCTCCAAATCCTCTCCTGAGACCTACTGCAGTGTGATTACCACATCTGGGTTCCAGGCTGGATTCTTTACATCCTCCTCTTGGATGTTTTTGCATGATTATAGTCTATTTCAAAGAATTCTTTGCTTTAAAACCAGCCTAATTCCACCTTACTTTATGCACTTGTCTGAAGCACCAAAGTGCCTAATTATTCTAAGCTCTCTCTTAGCAGTTGGCAGGGAGAAAAGAGCATTTCCAGGAAGCAGTTAACATCATAGGTAGACTGGGTTGTTCAAGGAGATGCCTGTCTCTCTCTCCTGACTGGAGAGGAAATCAAGGGAAACTGGGTGCTAACTGGATAGCACCGCTCCAGAAAATAAGCTGATATGTATCTGGACATCAGTTTGTAGTATAACTGATATTTTCAGATTTCCTGAGAGGGCTGACAAAAAAAGCCTCTTTCCACATTAAGCACTAGGCAGGCAGCCTACCAAACAGACTTGTGAAAGGGTTTTGCTTTTCTTCTGCTTGGTCTCCAAACTGGGGGACTTACCATGGTTGAGTCTGTAACACCCTTTCCTATAACCCTTTCCTTTTTCCTGTAACACCACAGTTAACTGAAACTTTGAGTACTTCCCACCTTTAAGGATCCAAAAATAAGAAAATAAGGTACTCCTAAAGACTGAGCTTGTTTCAAGGAGGCATCTAGACAGTAATTGTAACCGTAGTGGATACAGCTAGGTAAACATTCACTGGGAAAACTGACAGTTTTAAGCACAGTCACTTACTAAGGGTGACATTTTTGGAAACTAGTTTCCAGTAATCCTTAAGAAAAACACTGGTGATGCTCAAGACCAGCAATAAGGGAACTTGAGCACAGCTTTCAACTGCAAGCTGGACATAACTGCCAGGTTCCTATAGATAAGTATTTCATTCCCACACTTCAGTTTCTTTATCTGGACCGTGACTGAGAATGGTGACTATGCAGTGTTGGTAATGAGAAATGTCATTTAGGCTTTTGTTTTATTACTTGCACACAGATACATAATGATTTTGGTAGTTCCTTTTTAGACAATGTGAAAGTAACTAGAAATGATAAATATTATCCAATAGGTATGGATTTACTGGCCTTCTTCTGCAAAGACATGATAATTTTTGTTGGCACACTTACAGTGTGGTGTCTTTTTAGATTCTCTGCCGAGTAATCACACCTACAGTTTTATAGGAAGCTGTTTGCTTTCCTTTCTGTACCTGTACAGTAATTATATATTCTTCTAATTTCTGTGCAGGATTTTGATGACTTATCAGAAACAGATATAAGCAGTGAGGATCAGCATCATAAAATCAAGCCTGACCTTATGGAAGAGGAGCTTAAATCCAGGTTATTTCAGCTTGCTGCTAAAATGAGTGACAAGGAAACCTCTTCTGGTGAAGAACAAGAGTCAGAACCTAGAACGGATCCTGAGAACCAGAAGGAGACTTTGTCCTCAGATGAAAACGGCAAAAGTATTCACGAGGAGTTAAAGAAGGTAGGTAGTCAATATAGAGGAGTGCGATCAACATTGTAAAATCTAGAATCTAGGAAGAGAAACTTCTGGTTGGAAAATAAAACATAGTTTGCTTAATAAAAACGAAGTCCTTTACACTGGGTCTGAGCCTGCCACCCTTGCACAAGTAAAGCTTCCATTAAGGTGTGTTTTCTTTTCTGTAAGCCTCCAGGACCAGCTCAAAAGCAATGAACTTAGCTTGTGTAAACCTGTTAAGTGACTGATATTAATGCAATGATGTGAGTTTATACTGAGTAAGAATCTGATCTTGTATGTTTATTTAAAAGCATATCTAGATTTCCTTTTTTCCTCCTTGCTGACCCGTTGGTTTAAGTCTTTTCAGTCTTGTTATCTGTTCTGTTCTTTTTAGTATCATTTAGTTCATTCCGATGTCATAGATTCTTCTGCCTCTCTGTGGGAATATTTTACGCCTGTGGGATATTTTGTGCTTCTTTAAAGCTTTCATCCTCTGTTACTCTGTCAGCTAACAGGCTTCTGTAAACAGTAAAATATTCTAGTGATACTGAAATCCATTGTTGCTTGTGATATGTATCAGATCCTCTTTTTGTGTTATTTCTATCCTTACAGCAAGAGGCCTGATTTCAGTGTCACTCAACAGGACTTACCTCCTGCTTTCTTCCCTTTCTTCCTCTGAATTTCTCATCATCAGAGCATGTGGTGTATTTCAATTTGGTGTTGTACTCCATAGCCATTTTCTGTTCTCAGTTCACCTATATAAGAGCGTTTCAGAAAGTCCTATCCACAGCCCTTAATTCTAGAGTTTTGATTTATTATTTTAATAGCATCTTATTCAACACTATATAGCCTATATATCCTGTTGACCAATTTGATATTGCTGGTATGGGGTAGTCTTCGTAAATAAATCAAAGACAGGCTAAATTGAATGCTGCTAACAAGCATTGGTGATAGAGCTTTTATTTGCTTAGAAAGGATGTGTGTTGATCGTGAAGTTGTTTGCCTATGGGATGAGCAAGATACTTATGCTGCAGTAGTCCATGGCTGAATAACTCAGAATCACAGAGCCTCAGAATCACTGAGGTTGGAAGGGACATCTGGAGATCGTCTAGTCCATCCACCCTGCTCAAAGCAAGATCAGCTAGAGCAGATTGCCCAGGGTTGTGTCCAGTTGAGTTTTGATCATCTCCAGGGATGGGGACTCCACAACTTCTCTGAGCAACCTACTTCAGTGTTTTGCCATCCTCACAGTGAGGAAGCTTTTTCTTATGTTTAGATAGAATTTCCTGTGTTTCAAATTGTGCCCATTGTTTCTTATCCTTTCACTGGGCACCACTGAGAAGAGTCTGGCTCTGTCTTTTTTACCCCCCACCCCCCCACCAAGATATTTATAGGCATTGAAAAGATCCCCCACGATACTTCTGTTATCCAGGCTAAACATTCCTAGCTCTCTCAGCCTTTCTTCATGAGATGGTCACTCCAATCCATTAATCATCGATGTGGCCCTTTGCTGGACTAGCTTCAGTATGTCCATACCTTTCTTGTACCGGGGAGTCCATATCAGGGCACAGCACTTCAGATGCAGTCTCACCGGCATTGAATAGAGGGGAAGAATCTCCTCACTGGACCTGCTGGCAGCGCTCTTCCTAGTGCAGACTGGGAGGCTGTTGGCCTTCTTAGCCGTAAGGGCTCATTGCTGGCTCATGTCAAACTTACTCACCAAGACACCCAGGTCCTTTTCTGCCGAGCTGTTTTCCATTAGGCCAGTCTTCAGCGTATACTGATGCATGGTGTTATTCCTGCCCGCGTGCAGGACTTTACATTGCCCTTTGTTGAACTTCATGAGATTCCTGTTGGCCCATTTCTCCAGCCTGTCAAGGTCCCTCTGAACGTCAGCACAACCCATGGTGTATCAGCCACCCTTCCCAGTCTTGCATTGTCTGCAAACTTGCTGAGGGTGCTCTCTGTCCCGTCATCCAGATCACTGATAAAAATGGTTAACAGTATTGGTCGCAATTTTGAGCCGTGGAGGACACCACTAGTGACTGGCCTCCAGCTGGACTTTGTGCTGCTGGTCACAACCCTTTGAGCCTAGCAGTTGAGCCAGTTTTCAGTTTATCTCCCTGTCTGTTTATCTAGTCCATACTTCCTCAGTTTGTCTATGAGGATGTTATGGGAGACAGTGTTGAAAGCCTGTTGAAGGCAAAATAAATGGCATTTGCTGCTCTCCCCTTGCCAACTGAGGTAATCATTTCATCATAGAAGGTTATCAGGTTGGTCAGGCATGATTTCCCCGCTGTAAATCCTTGCTAACTACTTCCAATCATCTTATCCTTAATATGTTTGGAAATGGCTTCCAGGGGGATTCGCTCCATCACCATCCCAAGAATTAAGGTGAGGCTAACTGGCTTGTAGTTCCCTGGATCCTCCTTCTTGCCCTTCTTGAAGATAGGGGTGATGTTCACTTTCTTCCAGTCCTCAAGAACCTCCCTCCTTGCCATGACTTTTCAAAGATAATCAAGAGCGGCCTCACAATGATCCCAGCCAGCTCCCTCGGCACTCATGGGTGCATACTATCAGATCCCATGGACTTGTGTGTGTCTACTTTGTTTAAATGTTCCCTGAGCTGATCCTCCACTACTGAAGGTCAGTCTTCATTGCTCCAGACTTTCCCATTGGTCTCAAAACCCTGGGATTCCCAAGTGCAGAGGAGAAGAAGACATTGAGTACCTTGGCCTTTCTCATGTCCTGTGTTCCCTGTGCTACTCTTGCCCCATTCAGCAGTGGGCCCACATTTTCCCTCATCTTCCTTTTGCTAGTGATACACCTTTATAAGCCCTTTTTGTTGCCCTTCACTTCCCTGATCAGATTCCACTCATAGTGGGCTTTGGCTTTCCTGACCCTGTTCCTGCACACTTGGACAGTGTCTCTATAGATCAACTGATCCTTCTTCCACCTCCTGGTGGTGACAATGTGTTTCCCATTAGAGTATTGTCCACATCCCCTGTCAAAGCAGAGCCACGGTGTAGTCAAGACACCAAGAGGCGAATCAAGGCACACAGCAGACAAGAATGAGCCTAAATGGATCTGCAGGATAAGGGTGCTTGACTAGCAGTGGGCAGCACTGGGCTTGTGTGTGTGCATTTTTTATCAGACCATCACTAACTGAAACAAAACCCCCTCTGGAAGAAAGAACTCGAACCCAATTGGACTCTGCTGCCCAAGGTGAATATCCCATTTTCTACAGGAAGGATGGAGAGTGCCCTGTCTTAAGACAGACTGGAGACATAGCTTCAAACCATCTCCTCCTAGGGACATTCTCAAACCCACCTTTCTGCTGCTTGTGTGTATTTTTACCTTCAGATTGTTACACTAAGGTAGCTCTGTTTGTTTTCTTTGCTTGTTCTTATGTTTCCAACTGATTCGCCTTTCTCTGAATGGAGGCGATAGATATTTTGCTTAAAACTACTTGATGAAGTTCCTCGATAATCAGTGAAAAGGAAGAAATGCTTGAATAAGCAAATTGGCTGTCCTTCCACAGATCTGTGGAAACTCCTGCTTCTCTCTGGTGACAATATTAGGGCTGAGCGGTTATATTGGGTAGGTGAGATTTTCCGGTCCTACAGCCAGGCCTCCAGACATTTGGTAAGTGCCTGAGAAAGGTGCCAGGAATAGACTGACCGGAGTCCACTCAGAGGCACGTTCTCAAAAGAATTGTGCCAGGCATGCGAAATTTAGAATTATTCCCTACCCATTGGGGCAAATCTGTAATTTGTGTTATATTTACTCATCTTCATGAGTCTACAAAGTAATATTGGTTGTTTTTTCTCCTTTGATTTTATTATTACTCCAACATTTGCATGTCAGTTATTTAAAATAATGTAATGCTTAACTTAATATACTATTCCTCAGTACAATTTCCATAAGCTTCAAAAAAAAATAAGACAGATCTTGTTCAGAAAAAGTGAATGTCCAGAGTTCTTAATTCTTTATTGTTCTTGGCTGAAAAAAAGTCTTAGTTAGTCATTCATGGCTGCAGTATGTATTCTTTCTGTCTATAATAAAGAAACTAAAATATCCCAATGTTATTCATGGTCATGCTTCAGAGGAATTGATAGCGGAACTCAAGCTATAGAGAAACAAGCAGGCTGCTTTCATTCTTATTCTTGACAGTTATCCTAAAGGTGATTTAAAATCTTCTGACGTGTGCCTTCTCTTTGATAAGGTGGCTGACCAACACCTTACAATGAAATGCTGAAGATAACAGCATATGTTGCCATTTGTGGCTTCAGTAAACCAAAATATGAAGAGCTATCTAAACTCAGAAAACATATGCAATAACTTTAAAATGAGTAGATGAAGTTTCTCAGTGGATATGGGTAAGAAAACAGTATTTTCAGGAAACAAGTAATTTCAGATGCCTCAAAAGCCGGACGTCCCAGTTTGATGCCTCTTTAAGAAGTCTGATTTTTTGAAGAATACATGTTTAGGGAGTTACTGATCTTTCATGTTAGCACTTTAGCATTCTCAGCCAGAGCCCCCGAGTTCTGACCTGGGCATCAAGTTTCACATTGAGCATGCCCATGCACTAATTCTAGGCAGTTAAAATGAGAATTCAAGTGCCTACAGTGTGCTTTGAGCTCCTGAAACTAGATCAAACACTGTATTTTAGTCATCCTGACTTTAACAGTGGACTCTTTTGGAAACTTTATTTCACAAAGACAAATGAGGAAAGGGAATGTATGCTAAAAATATCCTCAGTATTGCTAAACCCAGCTTCCCGGAAAGGAAGAACCAGATCCTCAAAAATCAAGTGGTTGTCTTAAAAGTCGGTATGTATGCTTGGTGATGCATACTTGATCATTTTTATTTGCTGCTTTTTTTTTTTTTAACTTTTTTTTTTTTAACTTTTAGTGCTCCTATTTTTAAGCTTTATTCTGGAACACATTAGCAACTTCAAGTCACTGAGAATTTCTAGTTACAGTATACCTGGCCATAGGACAAGATTTCCAAAAGCATCTTTCTTCTTGAAAATTAGGTACCTAGTGCTCATGAAAATCTGGCGTGTCTGCACCTTTAAAAGTGTGGACACCTTTTTTTGATAGAAGCTAGGAATCGCATATAATCCCATGCTGAGCTGATGCTTTAAAAGGGGCATTAGCTGTTTTAAGACTTGTATCCGCTGGCAGGAGTTGGCACACCCTGAGTCTTCAGTGGAGAATTAGCTCAAGCAGGGCATTTATGGGTTCTCAGTTCTTCTCTCCTCAGGCTGAGCTTTATAGTTCTATGCCTAGCTTTAAGATACAAGTTTGAAGTTGCTGATCGTTGAATTTATTATTTGGTTTACATGGGATACTGAGGATTTCAGTGGGTAATAATTAACAAATGTTAATTTTGTATCTTAGACTTAAATACCCTGACGACTTCCGTGCAGTCATTTTCAAAATTCCTAAGTTTGTTGTCACCCAAAATGGTCTTATGGAGATTCGCACCTCTCTAAAATGAGTGTAAGCTTGTAGCAGGCTTGCTTTTGTAGATCATCTTCTGTGATTATTAAGCTACAAAAGTAGTTCATATTCTTTCAGGAGTGGGCAGGCCCCTGAAAAGCCTGCCTGTCTTACCTGTGTCATGAAAGGCCACAGAGACTTGTGTGTTCAGGCTGGAGTTAGCCTTCGACCTTCGAGGTTTCTGGTGTGAACAAACCGTGATCACATTGTGCGACCTTTGTGTTAGTGAAACATGTTGTTGATTTTCACTTTTAGCACAGTGATCTGCACAGTTCTTATGCCTTACTTTTTTTTTTCTTCCATTTTTTCCTACTAAAACCCTAACCAAATACTTAAACAAAAAAGAAAAGTGTAAATCTTTGGGAGTATCTTAATGATACTAAGAGTGCCAAGTATGATAAATGAGGTATATTTAGCTCTTGCTCTCTTTTCTCTTTGTCTCCTTTAATATTCCATGAAGATGAATAGGCTAGGTCTATATTTCACAGTAGGCCTCAGAAATACTTTCTAGAAAGCATTAAGGCCACATGGCCTTAAGCTGCTGGAAAACATATATCTTCCAGGTCCCATGTCATATATGACAGCTCTGTTTGGAAGTCCTCACGTACTTTAAGGTGTTTCAGACTGCACCTCATCTGTCTGTGTTTAAGCAACTGGATCAAATTCCCATTGCGTCTACCTGGAGAGGTGCGGAAAATGCGAGATTTCAGCTGGCTTCACGCAGGGAATGCAGCACCTTTGTAAATGAGACTCAAATTTAATCTGAGATATGATACTTAAGTCCATGTGTGCCCAAGCCAACTCTGTCCAGCATGCATGAAATGGGAATCTCATTCAGTTGTCTTATTACCAAAAATGTATTTACTTAGCAAGTAAATATAAAAGCCATTTTACAGATAGAGTTACAGAAAATCAGAACATAATAGCCTATGCTGCTGAAACAAAATGGAAAAAAATAGACTGCCACAAAAAAGTTATTATTAACTTGTCTTTTTTTATGAGCATCCCAGAGACTTGGCAGTGACAGATGAGCGCTTTAGATCTAGCTGGAAGAGCTTCAAGAAAGTGCTGGTTCTCAGCTGGATGTTACTTCTGTCACAGCACAGCCAACAGTATAACTGTGGTGTGTCGTTACTTCAGGGCAAAACCAGTCAGTTTAGTTTAAACAGACTTAATAAATTGGAGGGATTAAGGTAAGCCTGCTGACTTGGCACTGGTGATGTGGTACTATGAAGGGTTTCACTTGTTCCTTTTGGGGCAGTGAACTCTTAAGAGAGAGACAACAGCAAACAGTAGGAAGTGATTTGGCACAAGACATATTAAGTCAGCCCAGCTGTTTCTGACGTGAGCATCTGACTGCAGCATAAGTGAGGTGCAGACCCTTTTGTAACTGGAAACATGCAGTGTCCAAATCGCAATCATGTAGAGGCCAGAATTCTAGCTACAGCAGGCTCTTCTTTTTCTTTACACTGCTGCAAAAGTCTCCTAGTGCTACTGCCACATTGTTTTGGGATGATGGAAATCAGTAGTTCACAATTTGCTTCATTTTATAAAAATAATGTGTCGTTTTGCAATATCTGTTTTAATGAGATATGATTTTAAATCCCACAAAAAAAAATCACATAGGCATTGTTTTATTTTAAATATTTTAGTAATATGTGTAATATCAAAACTTTGTGACATATTTGTTAGCTTCTTTATCCTTGCTGTTCCTCCCAAAGTTCTAAGTCTGAACCTATATAAATGTTAACCTGTGTAGATGTTAACATATCTTTTCTGCCTTTCTGTTAACTGCTTTCCAACTATCTAGGAAAAACAAAAGGCTTTTGATCTTCATTTAAAGCTACAGTTTTTATCTACTGCATTGCAGCAGGTGAGAGCACTTTATTTTGTCTTGTGTTTTCTTACATCTCTTAGATGGTAAGAGATGCTATAAAGTGAAGTTGAGGGTTTCCATATTTCTCATGCAGAATTCCCAAATTCAGGGTATTTTCCTGGAAATATTAGGCCACATTCTCTTGGCCCCTTTCAGGAATCATCACACACAGAAGAGACTGAAATCACAGATAGGCAGATGCTATGATGGGAGTGATGAGCATGAAGTAGACATGTAGAGCAGACTCTCTCTCTCTTAGTTGGTTTAGCAATAAGAATTTTTTTTTATTAGAAAAGAAGAGCAGAGGACAAAGATAAGGAATATGATCTTCCTATTCCGATGTAGTCACTTATATGTAAAAATTTTAGAAGAAAGAAAAAGGAGAATTCCACAAAAGATGGTTTTTAGCAATTTCTGCCTTTAGTAGGCTTCAAAAATCTCTCTAAACTCCCAGTTTAAAAAATAAGCAGAACCCTTAATTCATTGTAGAGTTTGTATACGGTGCATAGGCATTTTCTCACTTTGCTGCTAATGTATGTTGCTTTATGGTTCTTACAGGTAGTAAGAAGGTTCATGTTATGTGTTATTTAAGTCTCAGCTGATTTGCATCAGATATTAATGCAGATTTTCGTTTTGTTCACTGAGCAAAGATATGCTTGCCTTGTATTTTACATGCCATTTTTAATATCTCGTATATAACAGTAAACAAATTGATTGTGTTTGATTCTCTCAGTCATAAAATAGGAACTACTTATTTGCATCAAAGATTGGTGCTTAGTTCAACAAAACAATCCGCCTCTCAGCTTTTTCTTTCTTCCTTACACTCAGAGTTAAGTTTTATCCTTTGTATTTTAATCACCTGTTGGATCTTAATTTTCTTTAAGAATGACCTTTTAAAAAATATTTTTCCATTTGTGAAATGTCATAAGCCTATGTCCATTATAGATATATTGACAGAATCTTGTGCGGATTTTGAGACTTAAGAAATATTTCCCTTTCCAACTTGGACCATATTTCACCTTTCCTCTCTTATACTTGTGGGAAACTTGTCTGTAGAAACCAAGTGTTACAAATAATTAGCATCTATAATCACATTAGAACGGCGGATTGAATTCACTAATTAAAATCTAAAGTTGAGAAATACCTAGCACAGTTGAAAAGAGAGACTATATTTCTCTCTGTCATTCTTTGGACAGTGTCTATAGAAGAGCTCACTCTGTAAGACAATAGCTTTCCTTCTCTAAGCAAGCACTCGTAGATGAAGATAGTGATGTTAAGGCAAATCTCAAACTTGCACAGTAGGTTCCTTCCTCAGTTCCATAGTTGATCACAGTAAACTTGTCTTTCATCAGATATCAAGGCAATTGTTCCTTTTCTTTCCCAGTGTTTGTGGTATAGAGCAGTTAGGGCTCACTTTTAGGTCATGTGAAGACTGGAGTGAAGACTATCATTGGTGGTTCTGCTTTGATGGCTCTGTTTGTCCCACACTGTGAATCATCCGGTGTCCAAGATCTTGCTCACCAGTGCAGGAGAGGGACTTTTGGTGGGTTTTTCAGGGCCTTCTCAAAGCTGTCCAGTGAAAGGTGTGTGTGGTAGAGGGGCAGATTTGGTTTCTGTTGTTTTAATCAAGCCTGGGTTCGGGCTTCTTAAAGATGAATCAACCAGAGACAAAGAGAAACTTCTCCCCATCCCCCCTCAACATCCTACGAAAAGAGGATGAGGGATATTGATTGAGAAACCTGCACACCACCAGGAGCGTGATAGAGCGGCTTGAGAATGGAGCAGGTAATCATTGTACCAGAAGTGATCAAGGACACCGTCAATACTGTCAGGGCTGCTAATGATGGAAACTTTCCCTTGCTCTAATTCTTGATCTGACTGTTGATGTGACCTGTTCTGTATTGAACTGCAAGGCACTGCCCCCAGTGCCAGTTTAATAAAGCCTAATGATAGCATAATATTATGGTAGCAAAAAGGGAATATGCTAATGGCTGAGTAAAATATGGAGAAAAAAATAGTGCAAGTGAACACTTCTGGGGTCACTTAACTGCATTAAGAACATTCATCATAAAGTAAATGACATTCACCAGCAGAAACTTGATGCAGAGATGTCATGGGCTGCTGGGATACGTACAAGGGCTTAACTGCTCATCCACTCACAGCAGTCTGGTCACTTTATGTTGCTTCAGTTTTCTCATCCTGCTTTATTTCTATTACTCATTAGCTTTTGTGCAAGGATGCAAATACTGTTCTCCAAAGCACTCTCCAGTGTAGCACCCTTAATAAAAACAAAAGAAATACCAGCAGTGGCAGCAGAGACAGCAGAAGAGAAGGGAAATGGCTGAAGTTCAGCAAGAGCTAGCTTAAATCACTGAAATGTTATCTTCAGCAAAACAGGAATCCTTTCTGTCTGTCCAACCACACACAGAAATGACAGTCAAGATGTCTCGCGATGTTGTGTTTATCATATTCTCTATATACACACATGACCACATGAAGGTATATGTATATTTGCTTGCACGTGCACCCTTTTTTAGTAATTCATTAGTTCTAAAACTCTTCCACAAAGAACTCAAGAAACTGATCACTCCTTTTGTTTGTCTTTAATGTGTTTGTAAGCGAGAGCACTAATTATGATAAAAAGTATGTTTTTCTTATTCCATTAAACTCTTAATCTCAAATTCAGTCGGGAATTGAATTCTAATAACCAGTGCAAACATTCAAATTTGGAGCAGCTGCATTGATTTCGTTTGAGACGGGTGGTGTTAAGCCACATGCACGGTAGCATCGCTGAAATCAGGATGCATCCCACTCTTTCCGGAAGAATGGTTATGCTTAGTTATTCTATGCTAGATATTTGTTACAGAAATTGCTTTATGTGTCTGTCACATCCTTATTAGTTCTTTGACTGCTTGACAAGACAGATGGGGGAGACTTCATGAAGGCGTGAGAGCTGTCCCTTTGAATACCTTGTAGGTGTTAACAGTGACCTTTCCTGCAAGGGCAAGATAAATTATACAGCCGAGAGGCCTTTATAGCAATTTGAAATGTCCACCTACCAGCATGATTTCGCTGTGCGTGCGTCTGAATTTTAGGTGATTTTTATAGAACCTCATAACTTCTCAGTTTGACGTGGGTAATTGGGGAGGGGAAAGGGTTGTGGGAAGCTTTTAGTCTGCTTGTTTCTTTGCTGGTTCGTTTAAGGAAACTGATGTTGTGGCTCTGCCATAAACGCTGCTGTTCTGCGCATGGAGGGTCACAGCTCTGGGACTCATGTAAATGGCTCATTAGGGGTCACTCTCCACGTGTCCAGTAGGAAATCACACGTAGGGTCTTCCCTTTTATGCCTAGCATGGTTGGGCTGTCTGATAACACCTCTTTTTGGTAGCAGCTAGGTGGACAAGCCCTAAGGGTCTGCAGTAAACGTAGCAGGAGTACTTGTTGCACTAAAACAGGACAGGTTTTGGGGGGGGGGATCCCCTCACACTTGTTAAATAATTATTTTTCCAGTATTATTTTTCTACCCCACTCAGTTTGCAGACAGGACCTTTTGGAACATGAGTTGTTTGAACATCTTTTAACAGTTGCTGAAAAACAGGCGGAAATATATGCAAAAGCATTAGTTAAGTAGGCAATTGCACCTGATTTAAGAACCCCTGAACTCCCTACGTGTTGGTTTTGTGCCTCCCATTAATGTCGTCTTGCTTCTCTGTAAGACACAGGCCAGGGCAAAGCCTAGTTCCAAATACCCTTAGCAGGAAGCTTTCACAAAGTTTAAATTTAAGTACATTACTTTTATATTGCTTGTACCCTTAAGTCGGGGGAGATCTACTTTTCAGGTATACTCTAATCTAAGGAAAAGATACCAACAGGCCATGATCAAGATACATTCATTGATGCACACACTGTGTGAACATTCATCTAGCTGCCTTGTACCACATTCGGTGTGAAGCCAGTCCCTAGTTTTAAAAGTCCAACATCTGCCACGAAGAACTTATCTCAGAATCCTAAAAATCATATTTCTTGCTTGTTGAACTTCTTTCCCCTCCTCAGGTACATATTGAGGAGGTACGGTATTTTCCTCAAAATTTTCATTTCATTAAGTTTCCTATCACAGATCACTTTACCAGAGGAAAAAAAAAAAAACTGTTGATGATAATTGTTCTGTAACAAATGCCAATATGAATTCTCATATTCTGGAATAAGAGCACCTTTTTCTAATTTAACTTAATCCTTTTTGGAAATCTGTTATTAACATTAAAGGATACAAATTTAAGAAATAGTGAACACTAAATTCAGGCTACAACTCCTTGAAATGTAGAACATACACCAGTAAAGATGATGGAAAAAAATGTAGTATCCTTTTTTGGTCACTACTCATAGAACTGAATAAGAAATAGGTGCTTGTAAAAGCAAATAATAAAACAAAGCAACATTGATTTCCTCCTCCATCCTATAAAATTATTGATCTGTTTTTAACCTAATTGGCACTTGTGAAAATAAATGGAAAAAGCAGTAGGCTGTTTATGAGGTTCAAGTATTTGTTCTCGGTAACAAAGTCCTAGGCTTACTTATTCAGGACTGATTTGGCTTTCCTAACAAGCTAAAGATCTGTGTGCTGTAGCAAACTATACTTGCTTTGTTCTCATTCTCTTTAATCTCATATATCTAATTATTTCTTGTAATTCAAAGGAATAACAGTGCTATAAGATGCCTTCTGTATTGCTTTATAACTGTTGAGCATACACTGCCAAAGAAGTGCAGTTTTTCAGTAAAAGTCCTGTCTAACATATAAATGAACAGCTTATTACAGGAAAGATATGATAAAAGAGGTTTTCCAGGTAAACTCACTCAAGTTTGTGTGAAACAAAGGAACCTTATTTCTGCTGTACCCCACTAAGCAGACCGGCTGACATATTGATTAATGTAGTATAAAAATAATACACATTTGTTGTTAAAGACGCTTTTAATCAGTTACACTTTTCCGTACTACAAAATCTATTGTATAGAATCCAGAGACTGTCTGTTTCCTCCGTTTGGATTCTGCATATATTCCATTTGGGGAAAAATTTACAGGTAGGTAGGCCCCTAATTCACATGCATAAGTATTTGCAAGTTGGGGACTTAATTAAATTTAGATTTGAGCTTTCCATCACTTTCTTATAGGCAAAACAGCACTGAAGATATTGCACATGAATTCAGTGACAGTATTTGTATTGACTTAACTAGTTTTGGATCAATCTCTGAGCCGTCTAGTTTGGATGTTGAGTGTGATGCCTGAGGGTACCTCACGTGAAATTTTGTTGCCAGCAGAGCAGTTGTCCTGAAGGCTAAAGCCCATGTGAGAATCATCAGAATCAGGATCGCTGATAACAAATTACAGATCAGGACCGCTGATAAACAAGATTTAGAGTTAAAGAAAAGTGGGGAAGGGGCTGGATAAAACTGCACACTTTTCTTTGCTATTTGAAATAATTTATTTAATAAATATTTTTGAAATGTTGAATTGCAATTAAAAAAAAATCAGGCCCCTTTATAGCCCTTTCCTTTTTGGGTGCTATCAAATAATTCATAGTAAGCATCTTTGTAAACTACTCTTCTCATAGAGCTGCTGAAAACTGCTTTCCCTCCTCAGTGTCTGCCATTTGGGAGCTCCTGCAGATACGGAGATGGGTGATTCCACACCTATTTGCCTGTGTCAAAAAAAAAAAAAGAAGATTAAGTTTTACAAATCTGTTTTAAATGCTGTTGCAAAAATAGATAAATCTAGCTGACTTTGATTTTAAAGCTGAGTATATCTGTGCTCCTTTGGGATAAGATTTGGACCTGGTCATTTCAGCCCCCTGCTAGAAGTTGTATTGTGGCAGATCTGCATGCGTATGTTATTTTGGGTGCTCTATCAGCATGCATATGGGAAAAAGAGGAGAGAGGAAGTAGATTCCACCACAGCCAGATTTCGTTACATAGTTCTTGCGTCTGTTCATGGCAACTAGCCAGGTGTATTGTTTTAGCGTGTTTAAAAGCTATAGCTACAAGCAAGGTATTTTACCTATTGCCCCTCTGTGCTAACTTAATGCTGTTGTTTTCCCTGTCTACTCTTGTAACAAAACAGAAGTACTCTGCTGTCTCTCTCTGCAACATATCTACAGAGGTCCTAAAAGTCATCAATGCCACTGAGGAACTGATAGCAGAATCCACAGGTCCCTGCGATTTCCCAGCTGACCTCCACGACAGAGGGAGGGGGACTTTCCCGTTAGGGACCGACCCGGTCAGACTCGACGAGCAGCTCACCACACTGGAAGAAAATGTAATGTGACTCTGTGCAAAACTGTCAAGTGTGTATATGTGTGTGTGTGTATGTATGTATGCTTGTGCACGTGCAAGCCTGGGACGACTGAAAAGGGAGAGTGCTTAGGTAGCGTCAGTGGATGTTCAGAGTTAACTTTGGGTTACTTAAATGAAACGGAACAAAAAAATACTCATTGCAAAGGGGTGCTCAGCTCTTTTCTATGGATATGTGCTTTAAAACATTTGAGGGAAGGGGGAGTTGGATGTGTTGGGTTTTATAGGCAATTTTAGCCCTATCTTAAAAATTAACTTAGTGCCCTAGAATCTCTATAGTTGTGCCGCTGCACCATGCCTTGTTAAAGCCACACATCTCCAAGTCCCAGCCTTATTATTGTAAGGACAGGTAGAGAAAGCAGGTCTCGAGTCACCTGGACAAGAAGTGGAGGAGCTACCCAGAGTGCTGTGCTGGGCAGCCAGGGACCTGAAGCTCTCTGCTCTCCTCTTAAAAAAGAGCAGACTGGAGAAACAGAGTTATGCAAACATTTCTGTTTGGCCACGTTCAGCTCTTCCGTCCTTTCGCATAAGTACCTGTCATCTGAAGGGAAGATCTAATGCTGAATCATAGAGGGAAGACGCTGTTCACTGGAAGTTTTTATGCGTCCACTTAATGGAGTCCAATATACTTTTAACTTTCGATTTTCTCCTCTTTCCACATTTAACTGATTATATTTTAATGCTTTTTCCTTCAGGCTGTCCCATTATAACATCCTGATCAATTCAAGACAATAGATCCTGTTTTCCTTTAGCCACCTGAAAATTTTCTTCCAGAATCTCTTCTTCCTGGCTAAAACCAGCTGCCTTCACAGAAATCCCCTCCCACACCAGCCCCAGGCTAGGGGCCTACTGAAAGGAACTCTATGGCAATGGCAAGCCCTCCTGGCACAGGGCCTGTCCTACCCAGAGCCCTCCCACCTGCCCCATGATGCCCAGGGCTCTCTCACCCCCCCTTTTTGGAGCTCAAATGTCCTAGGTCTGCTTGAGTTGTTTTCCAGCCCACGTCCTACCCCTCTGAACCTCGTCTGCTCCCAAACATTCCCCATCTCAGACTCTGCCCCTGCCCTCACAAAGAAGTATCATTGAAAATAAATGGAAAGAGCAATTTTTATTTAAATCAGAATGCTAATTTTATGGTCCACTTGTGTCTCAAGTACTTCAACAGAGACATTAAATCAGATCACTTACTCATTCTAGGTAATTTTTCAAGGACTTTATCCTTGCAGTTAAAGATTGTCCTCTTATGAGAGACAGTTCATGTTAGATGTAGTGCATTAGCTTCTCTGCAGTCGTGTACATGGAAAAATATATGTAATTTATGCATTGAAATGATTGAAACAAAGAAAAAAATCTTTTGTAAACAATTAAGGAACAATAATAAAAACAAACAATAATAAAAAGCAATTAAGAAAGAGTTAAATCTTACTGTAGTCATTCTCCTTCATCTCTTTTGATCCAGGAAGTCACAGCATGGCCAGAAATGATCTCAATAGCTGTTACGTCAAAAGGACTGCGGAGTCCAGGAGTCATGGGCAGATATAATGACTTGAGTGGGAAATACTCATGAAGTGAAGGCTCAAGGGTCTTCTTTAGATCCTATTTGCTTGCCCCTGGAACTGTGAAGTTAGCCACAGAATATATTTAATTTTTTAGTAGTTTTGTAGCACCACAGTCTTTTCAGCTACCAGAATAAGAGAGGCTACCACTGGGAAAATCAGAATCTGTATTTCCTTTCTACTTTCCTGTTACCAGCATCAGACAAGCAGTCTCTTGGCTATCTAGGATATAGCCAGAAGGTGCAGTATTTTCACAGGGACAGTTTTAAGCATAGCACTTGAAGGGCCAATGTTTGTGAGTTACTCTCTTCTATAAACTGTGGACCTCCATCCAGTTCTGTGTGCTAGATTTCTTTACAAAATAAAAGAAACCCATAGAACACAATGCACCATGATTTATTGCTCTGGGACATGGGAAACAAACCCTCTACCTGCAGCTATCTACCTCTACCTGCATTGTAGGTGGGTGAAAATGTTACTGAAGAGAAAGAGTTGTGTGGTTTTAGGGAAGATCTCTAAATTATGGGGTGTGTTATTCTCTCTTATCTGGCCGAGATAAGTCTATCGACCTTTCACAGGTTCACTCCAAAGCTTCCAGAGATGGAAAGGTTATGGCTGCTCCAGATTTGGGTGAGAGAGGGATGGGAGGGAGTTCCCTGTGCTGCACTTATAAGCTGCTGCTGAATAGTTATTCCTACACAGATTTTGATTGTCAGAGGACCGTGAGAGCAAACTTTCAGCTTTTTTTTTTTTGGTTGTTGGTGGTGGTGAATCTGGAAAAATTCTGTTTTGGAATTGTACTGCCTGTGAAATTTGGAGTTCAGCAGCCTCATGCCTCCCTTTTCCTTAAGGGGTATGTGTATTCAGATTACCCCTCCCATGACTCACCTCTGCCAGCATCTCCTAGAGGTGGATTAGCAATGGGGGGCGGGGACTCAGAGGCATCCTGGAAGATGCAGTCTGCTCAAACCTCCATGCACACAAAGCAGAAATCACTAACACTTCTCCCTGCCTTGGCCCTGCAGGTGTACTTGACAGCCGGCACAGTGTATGGGCTGGAGGGGCAACTGAACAGTCTGGAGGATGCAGCACGCAAGATCAGCAGTGTTACTGCAGAATCAGAGCTGGCCGAGCTGGAAGATCAGGTGGCCACAGCAGCTGCCCAGGTTCATCACGCAGAGCTTCAGGTGAGGACCTCAGCTGCCTCCCTATTTGCAGGTTTCACACCGTCTTGCCTAGCATTTATGTTTTGTCAGTGCACGCTTATTTTCGATAATACCTTGTACTGCAGTGAAGTAATAATCCAAGGATATGTGACTGCATAACAGGAGCTGAGCACAGCTTAACTGAGATGCATAACGCAGCACAGCCACATGTACTGTATTTGTTTCTTCCCCAAGCTCGTTTTCAGATATGAGAATGAAACAGTCAATTCACTTCTAATACTGTAATCTTAATGCTATTCCTGCTCCTTGCTCCCAGGTGGATCACGTGGTGCACTGCACATCATACACATGGCTATTAGGTACAACAACAAATACAGTTTTATGTAGCTCTTCTAATCAGCAGATTTTAGAGCACTTTATAAAAGAAGCCAATGTCGGTATCATTGTTCTACCGATAAAGGCCAAGGCCAGCGAGCCAGTGAGCCAAGCACAGACCTAGCACTGCCCAGTCTCCCTAGGGCTTTAGCTGCTAAGCAGTACACGTCCTGGCTAGAACGACACTGCTCGTGTGGGCTGCAATCCAGTGCCTCTCTAGGAGGCCCCGGAAAGTCTGAGGCTTGGAGGAGGGCTTCATGATATGGTGCAGAAAACTGAAGGAGGCCACACTGACAGACCTCAGGGTCATAACAACCTCCACACGCTGCTATCCCCTCGCTCCCAAGGACTTCACTGACCAGTCTGCACCAAGCGAGGCACTCTGACATCCTTGTGTCAGGCTATTTAACAGGACAGTACCTGTTTGTCTTACTCAGTGGGATCATCCTCAATTTAGGACTGAACAAAGATCTCAGAATCTAGCCTGACATCTGAAGTGCATTACGGAAATAGATGTCATGTCAAACTGGCAGTGACTCTTACTAGTTTCAGTCGTTATTTTATGGTAAATATGTAAATGGAGGTGCAGAGCGAGGGAGGAGAGAGGCCTGAAATACGAGAGGAAGATGACAGAAAAGGTAGTACACGACTGATCCAGTTGAAACTTTTTTGCAGAGCTTCAGGTGTCATCAAAAATTGGGAGTCAAGTTATATGTGCTGTTAAAGTCTGTTCTTAAGATTGTTGTTAAAGATTGTTCTTTCCTTTTTGGCAAAGTTTGTTTCCACTAGTGTCAGTATCAGCCTACTTTCTCCCAAATGCTTATTTCCTTGGCCTTTTGTTTTTCCTAGCAATTTGTTTTCCATTGAGTGCTTTATATAGTGTGTGCATGCATTTATGCATGTTTGTGTTTATTTACATATACACCTAAATTATAGCATAATTATTTAAGATCAAAGTTTTGGATTTGTAACAGAGGATCTATTTTGTATGTACAGAAAACTTGGAAATAATTTGGAATTAGCAAATGTGTTCCACCAAGTGGTATTATGAATGTAGGTTTTGAAAAACCCTGCTTGAATGCACTTGGAATTATATAGCTAAAGGTAATTGGGAGATGGAGATGGCAGACTTGGGGTCTTTCTTTCCTCCTTTCTTGTTTTTTCCTCAAAAGGAGTAAAATTCTTCTTCCTTGTAGTTGCAGGGTAATTAGATTATTCTTTTACTCCTATCTGATTGGTGATCATCTTTACTAACAAATTAAACCCCTTTCGACATCAGGACTAAAGAATACAGGAAAGCAAAATGTCAGAGGTGCTGAAGAAATCAGCCATCTGTTTATATTTTTTTATTAAAGAGGATTTGGGGAAGGGATATTTTAGTAGTGGCGTCTATAGTAATTTTAAAACTTCTTTTTCCCCCTCCCCGTCTGTCTGTCTCTCTCTTTTATTTTCTTTGAAGATTTCAGATATTGAGAGCAGAATATCAGCTCTCACTGTTGCAGGCTTGAACGTGGCTCCATGTGTTCGCCTGACAAGGAAACGGGATCAAAAGCAAACAAACCAGGTGCCAGAACATTATGTAGTTTTCAAAAATACATTGGGGAAGTCCTACCTCTCTTTCTGTAATGGAGTTGAGTAATGTGTGTGTGTTGTTTACAGATGCACACAATAGACACATCAAGACAGCAGAGGAGAAAACTTCCAGCTCCACCAATAAAAGGTGCACTAAAGTTGTTAAGTATATTGTTTTCGCAGTCTTTCTTTCAACATTTCAATATAACGTGCAGTTCAACAAACTAGGGGAAGGATTAATTTATAAAATGAGCAGAGCAAACCTAAATATGCCCACCCTCCTCATTTCCCATCTTACTTATATAAGATAAAATACACATTTGGCACATGAAAAAATATTGCCACTTTCTTTCGCAATGGAAATTGTGGCAGTGGCAGATTTATAGGAGCAGAAGCAAAAGGCTGGGAAAAGGAAACAAGAAATGCTGAATACTTCTCCTGCAAAAGTTAAGCTGATGCTTTGGAGAGCCCGAGGTTAGATTGTGAGGCCCGAGCAGTCACGCTGTGTGAATTACCAATAGCCAGTTGCTGCTTTCCACAACGCGTAAGGGTTTTCATAAAGAATATGCCCACTGAATTCAGTCTATATTATTTGGCTCAGCAGTGTTCCTGGTATGTTAGGGTATGGCTCTGAATTGGTTTTATAGTATACGGTGCTCTTTTCTTTCATGTTTACTCTGTTTTTACCTTGCAGTGCATTTTCTCTGGCAATTCTAGGGCCTGATTCACCTTGCATTACTCTAGTTTACCCTTGTGTAACTCCACTGATTGACAAGGCCTCAGACTAAAATAAATTGAGAGTATCACAGCCTGCTGTTTTTCATTGAAATTAAATCCAGCTTTCCCCCTATCTTAGGAGAAGTTTTATCTCTCTAGAAGCCATGACTCTTCAGGAGTATCATTACATTTTCTTCAATCTATGATGTGAAAAATCTTCCTTTCTGTATTTTTTCCAGGTGAGAAAATAGATGGTTCTCCAGTTACCACTGTTAGAACATTTAACAGAAACTTCATGCTCCAAGGATCTCTAACACAAAGAGCAAAAGAGAGGAAAAGCACTGCCAAGGACTTAATGGTAAAATCATAACAAATATTTTTAAAACTGCTATTAAAAGCAGTAGGTAGAGAAACAGCAGTATTTCTGTGGGCAGATACATTTCAGCATCTTCACAAAACTCCTCATAATACTTTGGGAAAAAGAACAGAGACTGTTGAGCCAGCTCTGAACAAATATGAGCAGTGTCCTGGAAGCTGTCTGGCTCTATACTGTAGTATAGCAGCAGTCTGCTCCTGAAAGTTGTCTATATGTACTGTCAGTCTGACCCCTAATTTATGAATGTCAGACTGTATGAATGTATCCCAGCAGCCAGGTCTCCAGGAACGTATTACCCTTATGTAAAAAATGAAAAATAAAAAAAACCTAATAGTCTCCTGCAATTCAGACTTCTGGCCGAGACTCTCACAGTACCAACTGCACAGTGTAAACAGAGCAGGCGAGACTTACCTTGAATCTCACTAATTTTTGAGAAATGTTCAAAGAAAGCCTAAGTAGAATTTAAGGAGTAGATAGGCCATGCATTAGCTGTGCAGGGTTTGAACAAAGAGGTTTCACCATAGAACTGTAGAGGAATAAGCAAAAAAGCTGAATCTCTCAAAGCATTCTGCTGCTAGCTATGTGCGGGGTTGGGGGCAGGGAGAAGGAGGACCCAGCTCCCCAGACGCTTTAGGAGGCTTGTATTATATATTATATTGCTAATTTTGTTTCTTTCCTCTCCATTCTAGGAACCTGCTGTAGGATCTGCTGTGATGTACTAAACTTTTACATCTCTACTGCCAATAACACACTGCCTAAGGCTGTACACTAGAGTGCCTTTACTTAACAGCCATTGTGTATGTCCAGTTGAAAATGGACCCTCAAGAACCCACAATGCCTCAGTTATAGGGCTTCGTTTGGATACCTCACTGAGAAAGCTGTCCAAGTCTTCAGCATTGTGGTCTGCTAATGGAAACTCTGCCTTAAAGTTCTCACAAGACTCTAGAAAGGATGCTGAGTTTCAAAAGCAAGGCTCCACATTTTAAGATGCACTTTTTCTCCCCATCGATTGTACTAAAAGTATGTCGTCTTTAAACTGCAGTATGTTTTTGTACACTTAATCAGTCATAATTATAGGCCAATATTTCGTACAAAAAGAAAGAACAAAGCAGACCTGTGATCGATATTTGCTGGCCTCTTACTATTCACTTAGGCATCTGTCTTGTCGAGCAATAAGAACAACTCTGTGCAATGAGCGCTGCTTTTCAGCTGCTTGGTGGAAGTGAAGAACTGATGTACCTAGCTCAGCTCCCCAGGAGCCAGTGGAAGTTTTGAGGAGGTTTGCAGGGTGAGGTGCAACGGGCAAAGACTTCTCTGTGCACTGAGGGTACGTTTGGCAGAGGTGATGTTCTAGCTCCAGGGCTAACTATGGGCAGCAGAGGGGAACATGGGTGTCGTGTTGCCCCGTGAATTGGTGGTAAGCAGCACGTGGGAACTGGAGGGCTGTTGAGTTGTAGTCCTGGCATCTGGGCACATCTGAACACTGTTGCAAAACCAACACTTTTGCATGTCTTGTTCTTTTCGGCAGCATTGTCCGCTTAGCGGTGTCCAACTACACTGTAGTTCAGAGTAAAGTCTGACCAAATCTTTAAGATTGGAAAAGGAGAGTACAAGAACAATTGTGGATTAGATCTCTGCAGACTCATTGGTCATTGTAGGGTGTCTGCGACCTAGAAGAAGTTCCTTTCTGCTGTTTCTTGTCTTTTCCGAGGAGGAGACAAATTCAGGCAAATGCAGCCTGGCTGTCTTTTCCTCTGCTCCTCTGTAGCCAACACAGAGTAACTGGAGCTTGTCACTGGTGTCACGTGCACCTGCTGTGACTGGACCACTGTGAGTTGGACTGTGATTAATAAAATGTCTTCTTTCACTTCTGAGTGCTTTAAAAGGGGAACCAGATTCTGGAAGGCCCTTGGGAAGGCACTATTATAGGGTGTCCCCCTCCTCCTCTTTGGGGAGGATCTTGCCAATTTGTGGTACTTTTTGCCCTGGGGAATGCAAAGGAAGAAGGTAGAGGACATGATAGGCCAGTGTATCCTGTATCTTATATGCCAAATGCAGAGCAGGTACCCAGATGCAGACTGGGCTGATGTGAAATGTGCTGTGAAGGAGGGTACAAGCTGACAAATTCCTCCCCCTTTCCCCCCCCCCCCGCCTTTAGGGGGCTCTCTCACAAGTGAGATGTCTCTGTCCTCTGCCAGTCCTAGCTAGAGAGCCCTGAGGATGCACCTGTTGGACTTCCTGTCTTTTTCTGAGGACCCTTATTAAATTAGACAGAAGCTTCAAGACAGGAAACACTGAAAAAATTCTGACTGACTCCAGTCTGGTCCAAATTTTCAGTCCATTCAGGAGAGTAGAGTAACCTGATTTTCAGAATAGGTGATGAGCTCTCCTGAGGGTAATGGCTACAAGGGGTGAGGAGAGCTGATCTTTTCCCGGTGCTCCCTCTGAACGTCACTTACTAGAGTTTGTGCGTTTTATCACGCGGCAGCAAAGCAGTCCCTGCCTCCCCCCACTGCCTTGCAGCACCGCTACCCCCAGCCCTGCAAGCGCTCAGCACATCTGGAAACAGGGCTGGGAAGTGCCTGTACCTGGGCACCTGTTGTCTTGTCAGTTCTGGTCTGTGGAGAAGAGACATGAGTAAAATCTGGCAAATTTCCTGACAAGGCTTGGGATTTGGTGGGGCGGGTAAGGATTGGCTGGATGGGACAGGTGGAAAAAAAGTTCCAGTTACAAATTTGTCAGCCACTTTTGAATTTTAGCTTCTCACTACATTGGTATATATATGGCTATTGGTATTGGCTATATGTCAGGAACTGTTAGAATAAATACAGCCATCTTTCCAGCTGCTATACAAAAGCATTGCTCTGTCTCGTCAATGAATTTCAATCTGCCGATAACGTGACCCAGTATGTTTGTTCTGGGTGAAATTATGCCTTCTCTTACTCCCATACAACATTAGTTCTCTTGAATTGGTTTGCACAGATGTGAGGGCAGAAATCGGTCCACTCTGTTTAACATATGTATACCTATAAAAATAGATTTTATTTATATATGCAATCCAGTAAAGGAGATTAAACAGAGTAGGATGCCTAGTAATTTTTTGCTATTCAATCTCCTCCTCCCTTGACTGTTCTCGTGTGTGTATACAATACATTCCCAGGTTTTGGTTTATGCAGGTATGCGTGTTATGAAATGTCATTAATGGTGGTTGGTCTGCATATTCGTCTAATAATATTAACTAATATTGTGTATGTAATATCAATACAGAAATGACTAATTTTAATAGAATAATTATTTGGCTTTTGTTCTGTTAGTGTGATTTAAACAAAGTTTGGAATAGGATGTTTTCCATAAGAGGCATGAAAAGCAACTATTATTGTGTTACAATGTTAAAATACTCAGTCTTTGACAGAAAAATGTGTACTGTGTAGGCATTGCAAAACAAAGAAAAAAAGAAAAAAAAAATCCCACCTGCTATAAAGCATTTGAATTTTTACAAATGTTTATTGTGCCAAATATGTGCAAAAATATAATTTACTGTTTTAAAAAAACATAAAAACATATGTTATAGCACACAAAGAATTATTTTGTCATCAAGTGATTTCAATCTTTAGTGTTAATATTTATATTTAGATTAATTTTTATAAATGAAAATATTTTAATGGGTAAAATGAATCCTATAAGATCTATTTGATTAAGTCTGAGTGAATATTAAGCTTGCCTTGTTGTTGTTATCTGCATACTCACCAAGAATTATTGTCAAGAGAAATTATGAGAGAGTAAAGCAATTTACGGAAAAGAATGCCTTTTCAAGGACTTGATTCATAAAGAAAAAACAAAAGTTATTCTCTGTTGTTTGGATTTATGTGCACTCCAGTCAGGAAACACGCAGAACGTGTTGCCACGTGTTGTGCCTGCCCACAAATAACGCTTCCCTGTCAAACGTTAGGAGATTGGACGGTCCGCAGAGTGGTCTTGGTTAGCTGAGGGGAGGAATATACTTAAACGCACTCAGTCCAAGTCCATTGGGGTTGGAGTGGGAAGGATCCTGTTAAGAGCATGTGATGTTTAATCTTCTCCAAACTTTTGTGTCTGTTGGGCTAAGTACAATTGCTAAGGAGCAAAATTTCTGTAAGTGCCACTGCGGTTGTTACAAAGTGATAAACTGAGTTAGAACCTGTTACCCATAGTCCTTATTCTAGAATTTCCAAAGTCCCATTAGATTAATACCAGTTTGATTTTTTTTTTTTATCAGCAGGATTTCTACTACATGAGAGAGTGAGAGGGCATTCATTTCAACTAATGTGGTTTAAGTACCACTTTGGCTCAGCAGATGATACCTTGTATCCCAGGTGCAAACTGTGAATGCTGTAGCTACTGCAGATGTGCCAGGATGTGATGGGTTGTGTCTGATCTCTGTGGTGAAGGAAGGCCACGTCTCACGGTGCCATGGCTGGGAGGAGGACTCTCCACCAGCACCGCCAGCGTTTGGCTCTTTACATTGACTCTCTGACTTCTCAATGTTTCTGCTTTACCGTTTCCCATTTTCAAGTTAAGATTACTGTCAAAATTTTGTTGGTTTGTCCATTTGTCTTGGTGTGCTTATGGTGATGCGGAGCACTTAAATTAGGTGATGGTTTAAACAGGAGATTACATCGTCAGAAATGAAAACGTTATTAAAACCTACTGGTTTTATATTGGGTCACATATGGTTGAAGCGAAGGTTCTTTTTTTTGTTTTTAATGCCATGTCCTTAAAAGCTAAAGAAACTTCCAAAAGGTCTCAAGGAAAGAAGGTGTTCCTCCACAAGGCCACACAGCCAAAGTCTGCCTACATCTTATCACGTTCATTGATCCTGGAATATTTAATAATGCTCAAAGATCTCAAAATTACTTCTGTGTCTTCAATTGGCTTGGTAATTTAGTAACATAACTGAACTAACACAGAAGCTGCACTGATGGCGATGACTGATTTTTTTATTATTCATGCAGTCAATATGGCTAATGATTGTGACTATCCGTAGATATAATTTAAAAACTAGAGGAGTTTCTAGTTCCTAATTTTAAAGAAATACTCACAGAAGATGTAACAGCAGCAGTTTCATGTGGTGCAGATAGATAGTGAGTGATAATAGAATGGCTTGCAAACAAGCTAATATCTCAAATCTCTTTACAAGCTGTTTATCAAACTGAAAAGGATCAAGCCTGTATTATAAATACTAATAATAACTTATTATAATAAAAATTCACTCATTGATGACACTTATTGCTCATTCACAAACAGAAAAAAGGATTAAATTATCTGTCATGATTAATTCAACCACCCTTAAATTTTAGTAGTAATTCTAACAAGACACAGCTAGAAATAGAAGTTAGTTCTAATTTGTTCTCTGCAATACAATTCATGGCCTGGCTTTAATTGTCATTCATTAGCTAAATCACAAGCTGTCTTTTTTGGATATAAGCCACAGATTAAACTGTATTCAAATATTCTAGCTAGTAATAGTTATTAATCAAGATTGTAAATAACACTTATAAAATGGCTATAACAAAGTGAATCAGCAAGGCAAACTTGGGCATTAAGTCACAACTCCAGGCTTACTGAGTGGACTAATATAGCAGGATTGTACATTGCTTGTGATCCTCAGAGAGCAACTTTAGCATGACCAGATAACGGGGTTATGAACAATTATGTTATTTTAAAGGGAATCAGGTAGTTTAGGCCCTTTACCCTTTTGGATGGTGATGCGTGATTACTAGCAGTAGGTACCAGACTACTCTGAAGAGTCTGCTTGGCCAATGGCTTTTTAACTTTCTACCCTAAAGCAGGGAGAAAATATTTATCTTTGTTAGAAACTCCTTTCTGTTCATTAGTATACCCCTCCAGTTGTACAGGAAAGCGGTAGAGGGCCACTGTGAGCTACGTGTGGGCTACGTTCCTGTGAGTGGATGTTAACAGTCTGTATGAAAACCACGCGCAGACCACAAACATTTCAGGTTGTTCATGCAGGTACCCTAAAAATTAGTGAGAGCCTTTTTTCTTTCTTCTAGCCATTATTTTTTATTTTTAAATATCAACAACCGTTGACTTTGAAACATGACAGGAAGGTTTCATGATACGCTTAACACTGCAGAGTTTAAATCCCAGTACAAAAGCTGTTTGGTTCTTGGACAAACCTAATGTTACAGTGCACAGCAGCATTAGGGACTGGGGAAGGGACTGGAAAAGATGTGAGAGGAGAAAGCATTTTTACAAGCAATGGTTGCACTCAGTGCCGGTGTCAATGCATTGTCTTTTACCCTGAATGTGTTTCTTTTCGAAGGCGTTTGCACAAGAGTGTGGGATTGCTAGGCAAAGGCAGAACCAGGGGTGTGAGGTGCAGCGGAGAATGCAATTCAGAGAGAGGAGCTCAAGTCACTGCCTCGGGGAGGAGGGATCACCAGTCGTCCAACACTTTTTGTTCCCACAACGCATTCAGGATGAAATCCAGGTGTCTGCTCACAGGCCTTGAGTTGCCACGGCCGCTTCTTAGCTGCCTCTTCCCAAACCGACCGATGGGGCGAACGCCACGTCCCACGTACCAGAAAGGATCAATCTCAGGACCTGTAATTCAAAGCATTCAGTGAAGCATCTATTTCTGCACTTAAAGGCAGCATTTCCTGAAAACTTTGAGGAACTGCAGGCTTGCAGCCAGACACAGCTTTTCGGTGCCTTTGAGGGATGCTTGCCATGTGTAGAGTCCAAAGAAAGAGGGTTCAGATGCAAATTTAATTTTCAGCTCTCTGGGCTGCTATCTGCAATTCTAACGTAACCAAAGAACCTGCCAAGGTGCAGCACACTTGAGCAGTGACGGTACAGGGAGCAAAACTGAAATTCCTCTCCAGCCTCCCTTTCTACTGAATACACCAGACATGCTACCCCTATAGGGTAATAAATCAGCTGGATTACAGAGTGGGTACCTGTGTGAGAGGGAAACTTACAAAAACCTATTCTTTTTTTCAGTTAAGAAGGTTATTTTACATATGGATTATTTTTTTTAATGCACCTGAAGTGCATTATACTTGACTTATGGCATAGTCTAGTTCTAGAGTAGGTGTGGAGAAGGGTTATATTTATATTAAAAGACTAAGCCATAGCTAATGCAAAAAGACTGAGAGAAGCTACAGAGGCGCTGGAGATGCTGACACCCTAAGGAAAGCTCATATCACCCCAAAGCAGGTGGAATGCCAGGAACAAGAATAGATTTCAATTTAAGTATGTTATACATTATTCAAGTCATACAAAAGTCTAAGCAAGGCAGCAGGATTTTCCCCTGTGCCTTTTGCTGCTTTACCAAAGACAAAAAAATCCACCAATTTTCCTCCATAAATGTAAGATATCATTCCAAAAATTTGTGGGGCACTGTGCAAGCATCTTGTAGATGTTTCCACACAGTGCTTAACCACCTTCCACCGCCCTGCTTGAAGACCAAGCCCTTTCATTTCTTTCATTTTGGTACCTAAAAACTGAGGTTCTCCAGCTCTCTTGTCCTCTTTGAAAGGGGAGACATGTGCCATAGACAGCCCGTGCACCTCACTCCTCACACCCACCTCTTTCCCGCACCACATTCAATTATCAGCCATTGCTCCCTGAGGAAGGCAAACTTTCCTGATAAAAGTTTTCTCAGAATGGCCTTTTGGATTGTGGTCCTTCATCTGGCCAGCCTCAGTTTCTCACAGTGTCTCTGAGTGGATGCTTTTCAACCACTTATGTTTTGGCTTTCAGACTACTCTTGTGTATCCCGATAGAATTGAAGATCTCTGTAAAATTAATGCAAGTTACTGGCGCTTGCTTTTTTGTGACGCCTTAGTAGTTTGTGAACTGCCACAGATCTGCAGAGTACATCTTAAAATTACCTGCTTAAATATTCAATGCTTCTCATTTTCTTTGTGGGACTTTTGTACATTAATACTTCCTCATACATTGATCAGAAATTACACTGTTTTCTTTGGCTAACTAAAGGCTGTGAGATGGAGAGTAAGATCTGCATATGGCACAAGCGGCTCTTGTGAATGTAAGTTGAAGAATATGACCCCACACCACCTTTTTATTGTAGAAAGGCCCACAGGGATTTGCTGCAGGTGTTTGCCTGCCAGCTGGCCCCGGAGCCCCTCAGTGCACGGGAGCCGGCGAGGTCGCTCTGCGGGAGTCTGCCACATCGTAGCAGGGGAGCTTCATACGTACTTCTGTTGTCTATCTGGTGTTTAAATAGCCTGCTCTGTCCTGAAGCGAAGCTGAGTGACACCAAGAGCACCAGCACGTAGACGGTGACCAGCTTTAAGTGCTTCGGCGACCACTGGGCGCGCCGTGTCCACGAGCTCGCGGGCCACATGGTGCAGCAGTGGAGGAAGGCTGGGAGGAAGAAGTGAGCACAAATGATTTAAAGCTCTCAGCAAAGGAACATGTCAGTTGTAAGAGGATGTTCATATCAAAGCCATTTCACGCCTAAATTCTGAGAGACACTGGTGCTGGGGATGTCCCGGGTATATCTGTGTAAAGGCAAAGGCTATGCAGTGAACCATCTACTCAGGTAAGTCCACAGCTTAAGCTTATTCTCGTCATCAGTGAAAGCCCATGCCACGACTCTGCAGGATGCAGGTGTCCTGGCTCTGAGGTTGCCACTGACTTTCTGTGCAGCTTTTAGCAGGTCACTCAGTCACCAATCCCACCCCAAGGATGTTGTGAGGATTAATGTGTGCATGGAGAGTTCAGACTCTGCAGTGCGCTCTTGTGTGGCCGTCTGCATTTGCCATCAAAGTGTGTTTTAGCCATTAGCTCTGTCTTCCTTTCTTCACTTGTAAAATATATTTAGTATCTGCATTTTACACAATCTCTTTATGACTAAATGCATTAGAAAGGACTACTGAAAGGGCAAGTTCCTCCCCCGGCAGCTCACACTTTCGCAGCCAATGCACAAAAGTACAGTTTTCTAGCTATGGTTTCCGCTTACGGGGATGTCCCAATCCTGCAGATGGCTCTGGATGAGGCCCAATGAGAAACCTCACCTGAGAGAAGAGCTGTAAAAGGAGAACTACACTGCAGGAGGGTGCTGGGTCTGGAAAGCAGGATCCGGGAGGTGAATGATCTAAGATGCTAGTTCCCACTATGCCCCCTGTCTCTGTGACATCTTGGACAAGCCTTCCTCTCATCGGTCCTCCTAGCTTTAACCCTAGGACAGTCTGTCTACCCCATAGCGTATGCAAGAGCTGGCAACATATTTGAAAGCCTGGAGCCTCTGCCCACAAAGTGGGCAGGAGCCCTGGTTGCTTAAGCATTGCTGCTGCCAGATGTGCAGCTGCAGAGCTCTAGGAGATGCTCTTGGCTCTGCCCATGCAGAGGGGTCTCCCTGCATGAGGGGAGCTTCCCCCATTGCCACCTAGGCACGGCACTGCTAAAACTTCAGCCAGCCTCCAGTATGGGCAGCACATGAATGAAGCTCTTTTGATTCAAGGCGCTCGCCAGCACACCACACAGGCAGCACAGCAAACGCACACGAGGAACCTGCTCATGTCTCATTAAAATGCAAAGTCCAAAGCTTCTTAACACCTAGGATTCAGTGAAGGTCTGTCTTTTGGGTTTTTTTTCCTTTCCGCACTGACAGTTAGCAGGCAGCTTAGAGGAAAGTGACTTTAACTGCTAATTTTAACAGAAGGGTGAATTAATTTCTTCTAACTCCTTAATTATCTCATGACAATCAGGCCTAAATGATCTCAGCACGTAAAACTGTATGGGACAAATCCTGTCTTCAGTTTAAACTAGCGTTCATCTCTTGTCATTCCGTGTTTATCTAAGGCTTAAGTTCAGTGAGACAAAATGATGATGTTTCGAGGAATCTCCCATGTGCTTACACAGCTGCAGGCAGGTTCTCACGTTGTAGCTTATTTTCCTAGGAACTGCGTGACAGAAAGGAAGAGCTTGCCTGGAGCTCTTTGGTGATAGACACAGAGGGAAAAGCTTTTAGTACAAGTTTTATCCCGAGCAATGCTGTCTCTTGCCCTCCACCACCTGGTCCCGTGCCTGATTCAGGCCACTTTGAAGAGTGCTATTATTTATTCAACTCCTTGTTCTGACCCTTGACCTGGCTAAGATTTCTATGAAGCAAACGGCTCCTGCTGCTCCTCCGTAAGTAACCAGCCATTCCCTCAGCGCCAGGTGGCTCAGCACTTCCCGTCCTCCCTGATTTTTCCTCTTCCTCCTCCCTAACAGTCCCACGCCTGTTTGCATGGGGAGAAAGTGAGGCACAGCGAATGCCACGAGGCCGACCCTCGTGCTGCTGAGCACTTCTAACTTCAGCGCCACCCTGTCACTAGGTCCGAGATCACCTCGGTCCCAGACCGGCCACAGCCTGCAGCCTTCGTTCAAAGGGAAAACTCAGAAAACAAGAGTCAGACGGCCAGAGCCCAACAGCTGTTTCCAACTCGCCCATTAAATGACCACCAAAAACTTTGAAAACTTACCAATTTCAACAAAAGTTGACAGAATTAAAAACTTCAGGAGCAATTCTGTTCCTGAAGCTCAGCAAGAAGTTGACACCGCTCCCTTTCCCTTGCTGCTCCGTCCCAAACCGGGAAGAGCCTTTAAATTGCAGCGAGGGAGCCCTTGCTCAGCAGTGCTGGAAACCTCCGCGGGAGACCAGCGCCCGGCTGAGCGCAGGCCTGGGCTCCGGGCTCGTGAGGGGCTGAGCGCC